ACAATACTACCCAGCATTCGGGTTGGTAGTCCATATTTCCCCAACACACAGGTTCACTCAGTTAAGTCTCCATCAGTGCAAACAGGAGTTTTGCTTGCCTTTTTATGGGTTATTTCCAACACAGAAAAATCAAGTACAATGTTTTTATTACAAGATTCAACACATGCTGGATACAAAGGCAGAATATACCGGGATCCCTTCCAGTAAAAAGGATTCTTCTTGCTGGTCCCACAGCACTATCCAATGTTTATTATACTGTTCAATTCCCTAAGAGCATCTGATGAGGTTGTATCTGCATATTAACCTCATTGTTCCTGAGCTATGGAACAAGACTCAACCCTTCTAAACACCCCATCTTGTGCTATGGACAGGGCAGGGAACGGTGCAGCAGCAGCACTTGGCTGAAAGTCAGCAAAGGTCAGGCTGGTCCTTTTCTGTTGGCTACTCCACAGTCTGGGATATGCATGCTTCAAAAACACTTAAACTCACTCACTAGAGTTATCCCATGAATAATGTTAGATGTAAACATGTTTTGTTTTTTTTTTTTTTTCTCTGGTTTTACCTTCGTTCACAAGCAGGATGGCTGGAAATGTTGCTTGGTGCCTGCACAGGGTGAAGGAAGAAGTCTGGAGAGCCTGATCTGCCAGCAAGGCTTATACAAATACTCTCAGACGACAGCAATGAAGCCTCAAGCATACAGTGGGCAATAAAATTACTTCCAAATGTCTAAGGCTGTGCAAAGATTGTAATGGGGAGGCATTCAGGGCATGCCTGAGAAAACACTGCAGCAGATTTCAGTTGGAGCAAATCAGTCAAAAGCTGAAGTCTGTAGCAGGGTGCCTGGTCTCTGCTGGAGCTCACGCGGCCACGAACGCCCTGTTTGGATTTTGTCATGCCAGGGAGTTCCAGTGAAGTCAGTTCACCTATACCCACCTGCACCACGGTTCTCTTCCTGACTCAGGGCAGACAAAGCCTAAAAGTGCTTATCATGGCCAATTAGTATGTTTTATTATTTCAAAAGAGGCTAGAGACAACAGAGATCTTTTGTAGTTCTAACCAAAGTGTTGTAGCACATTCCTGACTCTGGGATGACATTTTAAGCAGAATCCCCTTCATTTGCATGAGGACAGGCTGGTCCCACAGCAACACCAGGTTCTTTTGTCAGGGAGGATTACAAAGAGGATGTGCAGCAAGAGTGATTCAGTCCGTGGAGACACAACAGGGCCAGGACTCAGCACTGCTGAACACTCACAAGTGCAGCAATACAGGCCTCATCTTCAAAATTAAACCAGAATTACAGCTGCCATTAGCACATTTCCTAAAATGGAAGAGGCATCGTTCTGGAAGCAAACATGCCCCAGTGCCAGGGATTCTGCCCAACCTGCTGCTACTGTAAATTAAAGCAAATCTTATCAGGCCTGACAGAACTGTGCCTAATGTATTTAAACCCAAGACTAAACCAGCACGATTACAATGAAAATGTAATAATCTTCTACTGTCTACTTTGGCTCACTGTTCTGGCATCCATGAATGTTTGATTTTGGTCTTTCCAACATCCAGCCTTGGACTGCTGTGTATCAGTAAAAAATAATGTGTTTTGGCTGTGAAGAAAATTCTCTCAGCTGCTTCCTGTGCCAGTGTCAGTGAGACATGGTTTCCACTCAGAGTACATTTGGATTCCTGTAGTAAATCTATCAGTGATTCACAAGAAGTCATCTTGGTTGTCCAGCCAGCCAGAAACTGACTGCCCAAGCAACCAGCTGTGCAGGCTAAGGTTGCACTGTGTCAGCCAGGTTCTGAAATAACCATTTCTTGATGGTCCCAGCACTGATCCTTGAGGAATGTCAATTATCTAGCCGCCAT